AGAGAAAGGGGTAGAGAGAGATAGGGGGGCGCATGTTGCCCTAGAGCAACCAACCAGACCCCGGCTGCGTCCATGCCATGACCTCGCTCCACCCTCCGAACGTCTGCTTTTAATCGTCTTAAAACAGTTACCTCAGGTAGTTTGTTTGGCGTTGTTAACCCAAGCCTGGGGCACAGAAGGGGTAGGAAGGAGGGAAAAGTGTGGGGGGAACGGTAGAAAGACAGAGAGAGAGAGAGCAGGAGGTTTTGGAGGACTTCCCTTAGATTTGGCATGACGAGGTTTTTCAAAGAGCGAGATGGATCGCGAGAAGCCGCACGTCTTGGAGCTGGCTGCTGCTGCTGCCGAGGCTGCCGCGGCCCTGACTGATGAGATTCCCACCCCTTTCCCTGCGCAGATTAAGATGGATTCGCCTCGGCGGTGGCGCCAGCGCTAAGGCCGCCCCGCCCCGCGTGTGCTTGCTCCCACAGAACCGGACGCGGCGCGGACTAAGTCCGCTGCTAGTGAGGCTGCTAGCTTTGTTACTCGCGGCAAGCTCCACACACGCACACGACTTACGGTCCCATACCACCCAGCACTAGCTTGCGCTGCCTGAGATAAACGTGGATCGTGCTGGCGGGGCTGCGGCCTTGGCTGGTCCCGGGGCCGCCTATAGAAGAAAACAGTGCAGCTTGCAGCGACTTACCTGTCCCTGCGGTCGGGCTCGAAGCCGTTCTGCAGGTCCCGCTCCGGGAAGCGGAACAGCGCCTCGCCCGTCACCACGCCGAAGAGCAAGTCGTAGCCCTTGCTGCCGAGGCCTGGCGGGAACAGCTTGGCGGCGGCCGCAGAGAACGCGCCCGGGTTGTCGTCAGAGTAGCCTTCGAAGACCTGCAAACCAGAACACAACAGGAGTCAGGTCGGCGTGGACAGTGAGGTTCTCGGCGAGCCTGAGCGGCAGGTGTCGCGGCCGCGGCTGGCAGGGGCGAGGGACGAGGGGCGGTAGGGGCGGGGAGGGGAGAGGGGGGCTGCTGGCAGAGCAGCCGGCCGTCATTCTGCCGCCGCTGAGACAAGTGATGAGTTTGAATGCAAATGCGGTCGGGACGGCGAGCTCTTCGGCAGTTGGCTAAACTGACAATGAGAAAATTACTCCCTTTCTAATTGTTTTCCGGGCCGACGCTGTGTGACCTCGCCGGCCGACCACTTTAGCGGGCGCCTCTGTTCTCTTCCTCCTAGATGAAAGGTTGTTCAGGGGCGCGCAGGGGGAAAGAGGGGCGCGGGAGAGGGCGTGAAAAGGACAAAGTGGCCCCGAGGAGACGGCGCGGCGGGCGGCGGCGCGGCGCTCCGAGGCCTGACCTATACATTATTCCCTTCGGAACTTCCACCTCGCTATGCATAACAATGCTATATATATACCTCGGTCTGCCCCGCAGGCTCCGCAGGACCCGCCCCCTGCCCGCCCCTGGCCTGCCCCCGACCCGCCTGGCTCTGGCTGTCTCGCGGTCGAGAGACTCTTGCGTCGCCGCCGCGAAAAAGTTATGCCGGATTAAGTTTAGCGAGCCGGCAGTAAGTCGCCTAAAGACTAAAGATGCACAATAATAACGGAGGCCACCGACTTTCCTGAAGGAGGGAGAGGAGGGGGTTTGGTCCGGATAGGCACCCCCGGGTCCTCGGCGGTCCTCGGGCCCGGGCCCCCTCCCCCGGCACTACTTGGGCGTCAGCTGCACCGATCAGGGCCGCAGGCCGCAGTGCGGGCCCGCGTACCTCCAGGCGGGCG